TGTATAATTAAATCTTAACTCAAAAAATAAATCATAAATTCAAATAATTCAACCTAATACCTTAATTAGATAACCTTGGTTCTTGTATCATTATCAATTATGACCCTGCAAAATCATAACATCAAAGGGAAAGAAAATCAGGTACTCAGATAGCAAAAACCTTCACTACCTTCATTTCTACTCAGAAAATAGAAATTCAAGAGAGCCAAGAACCCATTTCGATTAACAAAAATAAGACTGGAAATAGCATAAACTGGATGCCCCAATTAACATCAGAAAATAAACCAGAAGAACAGAGAACAAAGAGAAATGAAGAACCTTGGAACCAAATTATGTGGAAGATTACTATAAACCAAAAGCACTCTTAAGAATATTTTGCTGCTAATTTAAGTTTAGATAAGGGTGTAAGAGTTTTTGAAATAATGATAAAAGAAAGGATCTTCATTACCTTTCTCAATTCCATGGATTCAAAACGAACTAATTTAGTACAAACAAAACTTTCTAAGAGGCAAAAATCCAACTAGTGACAACAACTGCATCATAGTCACTAGATAGAGTGAAATCAGAGCAAAGCCTCAAACTCTAAAATCTTAAAAATTTAAGAATTGAAGTAACAAAAACTTGAAAATCCAAAAGACCAGTAAACAAACAGATCTGCAAGCATTTCAGACAAGTTTAGACAAACAGCAAGACACAAATCATAAGCAAAAAAGGCATAGATGTGCTTTCTTAACAAACTTCTTACCACATTCATAAAACTGAAAAGGAAAAATGAGAAATGAAAACAAAATAACTTAATTAATGAGTAGGGAAGGACCTTTCTCTGCTTGAAAATACCATTAATCAACCTTCACAGTCTCACTAGCTTTGCCAATTGCCAAAACTCCAAACCTGAAGTAAAGATGGATTGGAAAATATATCTCCTCAGTAGTTTGAAGAATTAAAAGAATTAATGAACTCGTTTAAAGGCGTGGAAGAAATAGAAAAATATGATTTTAAGTAGAAAATCATCATACACAGCAGAGAGCTCAATTTGGCTGAAATCATCGTCTTCCATGGGAGCAGGAAGGTTAAGATCTATGAAGCTGTTTTCTCCAAACCATGGATTCTTTGTTCTCCAACATGGGAGAGCAGATCCAGATCCCCTGTCGAGCCCCTAGATCTACTTCCTGTCATCAACATCTTCTCTTCCACTCGAGGTCAGACCCGAATGACCTTTGTCCGCCGCTCATCTTATTCGAACTCTTCCTCGCACACCGGTCGGCCTCCACTCACACCTACTTCTCTCCCGATCTCCCTTCTCCATCGACAACCATATCCAAGTCTCCCTCCACTCAACCCCTGGGTCTCTTTTGACTCACCTCCAGATCTCTGCGTCGGCCGTGCCCTCTCATCCCTTTCGATGATCAGACACATGGAGAGGAGAAGCTGTGACTGAGAATGTGGTAAGATTGCCCGTCAGAAATTTAGGGATTTGCCATCTGTTTAAAGGAGAAAATTATTTTGCCTTTTGTTTTATCTAACGTATGTACGTTTGTTAGTTTCCCAAAAAACAGAAAAATATAAAACGCAGAGTTTGTTAGATAAAAGCCGAAAATATTTTAACATCTATAAAACCGCGAGAGGTAAGGGGTGGTTACTGTAGCTAACAGTTAGTTAGCAAAGGGGCGCTGATAATTTGTTAAGTTGAGTGAAAAGAATTTAGTTTTTGTTAAATAAAATTATAAATTATAAATTATAAATTTTATAAATAAAGAGGTTGAGGGGCTTTTTGATTTTAAATTAATTAAAATTTGGTGTTGATTTTTGAATAAAGAGATTTAATATGAAAAAAAAAAAAATACAAAAACAAAGGGGCGCGCGCGTCTATGGCTTGTAATCCATACACATTCTTTGCAGGCTTAATATTAGTAGTACATGTATTTGATAAAGAAGAATTTTGATTTATTTTCTCAGCAAGGAAGGTGAAGCTTTTATTGCATAAACATTCTTCTACATTTGATGGCATAACCATATAAAGACTGTAATAATTCAAATGAAGTCTACATATAGTAGACAAAATCAGAATACAAATTAAGGATAACAGAGTATCACAACCTAAATTATACTAGAACAGACACTTAGAACTTATTACAATTTAATTGGTAGGAGGTAAATGGAGAGGGGATTTAAAAATATTTCATCTAATTAAATTAAAGCCAACAATATTCAATCCCTGTTCTCAGTTTTTCCTCACTGTAATCTTGTACTGAGCTCCTCCAGAGCCGAAGGAGTCATCTTCTTTGTAAAGGGTGATCCTGTGACCAACTCTAATGCCTTTACTGAACTCCTTCCAACCATCAGTGAAATATATAATTCTGTTCCGTTTTATGCAGGTAAGCGTCCACTGAAAACCCTTCTCATCTATAACCGGCAACTTTCCTAACTGACCGTCGTTGCTGCAATCAAATGGAAGATGTCCTATTTTGGCATCCCTAGGAAACCGCAATCCTTTTTCAATGTCATTTAGCTCAACCCTTTTATCCTCAAAGATGATCGCCATTGTGTTTGGATTGGATACGGTGGTTTGATATAGCAAGAGATTGTGAGAGTTTGAGAACTGGAATGACCCCTATTTATAAATTAATCATCTCGCTCGATTAATTGAACAGATAGATTACGTATTATTAGATAACGGATTAAAGGATCGAGAAGTTATTACGTTCGAAATGTGATCGCGGTGAGTCTGGCGATCCAAAAATGGTAATCATACGATTTATCGATTTCTATACTCTTAACCGGCAGTAGCGTAGTCCTCGCGCTGACAATTAATGTTCGATTTCATAATGAACTCGAGTAGATAATAATTAGTAGCATACGAGGTTGTTAGGATTCTGTTAGATTGAGAGAGAAGCCGACAGTTTCTTGACGCGACTCAGAGTGTTCTCGCGACAGTTTCTTCAACTAAAATAACTAAAAACTCAGTATATGGAATTGCTAAATTGCCCTGAGGGTGTTTTCGGAATTTCATCGTTGAGGCACAATTACTTGGTTGACCAGGTTTTGCGGGAGAACAAATCAAACCCATGGGACGGCGCGCGAGGCATATTGGAAAGGAATGGAAGACAGGAAGGAGAAATCGGTCGGTTTGCAGCGGCATTGTGAGAGGATTGAGAGTGAGACAGAAGGGTAGTGTCGTCGCTTACGATAACAGTCATGCTGAATCCGGCGGTTGATTTCAAGGTTAAGGTGGGTGTGGGAGAGACAATGGTTGGAGGTAGAGAGGAAGGAGTAGGAGGAGGATGAGGCCGGTGATATTGTCGTCGTGGGCATTGGAAGTTTTGGTAAGTTGATTTCATCTTCGACAATCCATTGCAATCATTTGGGTTTGGGTTAGGTTCACTTTCTCCTTCGTTTTCCCTTTTCTTTTAAACCAGATTCATGATTTTGGTTTTTTGTATATGCAAAAATGTCAGAGACATGAGAATACAGTTTGGGACATTACTAGCAGATATAGGATTCATCAATCTTCCAGCAGATTATCAGGTATGTACCTTTTGATTCTTGATTTGTTTAGATCTATGCAACTTAAAGTGGTACTCCTTTATTCTTTTCTATTAAATATGATAAAATTTCTAAATCAAAGCAAACAACAATAACTTTTGTGAAGCCTATTATATCATAATAGCTGAAATTGTTTTTTGTTCCACTCTAAATTGTTGTTGTTTTATTTTAGTTTATTTTAGATAAAATGTAAAAATGTTATTTATCCAAGAAGACTGTTCTGTACACTCAAGCAGCAGCAGCTGCTGCTACAATCAATTTATAACTGCAGTTTTAAGAATATCCTACTGCTAAGATTGCATTGGTAGCTGTATAATGCCTTTTATCCCCCATTGCACTGCTACAGATATGGGCAATGATGAAGATTTTGGCTTTGTAAAGCCCAAAACCTTATTTTTAACATCAAAATGAATATTATGTACAACCTGCAAAACAGATTGGAAATGTTGCCTATGTACTCTGTTATTTCTTTCCCTCCAAACATAATAAACCATAGCATTCCAGGCCTGTTTAACAAGGATACAGTACAAGGATTTCCTCCTAATCCACTTCCCCCTCCAGGCCAATAAACCTTGCCAAGAGCAGAATAAGTGAATTCCTGTCATAGCACAAATAACCTGCCATATTTGCTTGGTAAAGTGACACTGAAAAAACAGATGAGTGTTTGTTTCCACTCCTTTTTTACAGAACAGGCAGGTGTCATCAAAACTAGGAGTCCATTTCTTCTTTGGCGGAATTTATTTGTCCAAAAATATTTATGTGGTTTTCACAAGGATAAAGTTTATTGGTTCATAGGTTAATGGAAAAAAGAAAGAGAATCTTGATGGTTGGTTTTTTGGTAACTCAAAACCAGTCAACATTTATTCAAATCATTCTGAAGTTGTGAAGGTAAGGTGGACATGGTTTTTGGTTGTTTGAAGTTCCAATTTGCTCTCTCTGAAATGTGCTCGTCTGTATCCTCATGTGGCTGCCACCAAGAGCAGGGCATTGCTGGAGCAGCTCTTGGAAGAGTTAAACTGACTAATAGTTCTGAATCAAAGAGTTATCCAGTCTGGTATGATGGAATGCTTTATGGTCTTACCTATTCTCTTTATTTCTCTCATGTGTTGCCTTTTTTTTTTTCTTTCGGTTTACCCCTCTTGGTAAGTGTTGGAATAGGCTATTTCTCATTCATTGTGGCACAATTCTTTCTATCACATTCATCTATTATCATAGAGATTGTAAAAGAGTTAACAGAGAGTTGTCATTCTTTGTCCATGGCTCTCTTTTGTTTTTTAGAACAGGAAATTTAGAGACATACTTGAATTTGATTGTTTCCTCTTTTTGTCATGTAATGTGTGAAACTTATTTTTGACTTGAAGCCTATTCTGTGAACTTCTTTTTCTCACATTCTGCCTTTTTTTTTTTTTTTTTTTTTTTGGGTATTGTGGCAATCATTTGCAATCCAATGCAGCCTTTGCATTTGGGGCATTTAAGTTGATAAGCTTGCTGTTTTCTCTTTATTTATTTCATCATTTGCTTCCTTAGATTATTTGGAATCTTATCATACCTAACTCCATGTTTTTTATTTTCTTGCATTCTGTTTCCTTGATTCTTTATGTGGGTGGGTTGGGACATTTAATTCATGCATGAGCCAGAATACCATCAGGTTGAGAGGCAAGGGAAATTGTTATAAAAGTTTGCATTTTAAGAGTTTTATGTTTAATTCTTGGACTTTTTCATGCATTCCCCTGGTTCCTGTACCTGGTCAGTGAAGCAGAACCTGCAATCTTTGACCCTTGCCTTTATCCAGTGGAATTATCTCAATTGAATAAGCTCGAATATCTTTCTCGAATCTACTAGTTTATCATGGAAAACCATCTCATTCCTGGCTAACCATAAGGACCACATCCCTGCTTCCCACACCACTTTCCATCCGACTGCCACATTTTTATTGTTGAAGAAGCCAGACTGATGCACAGAGGCTGGCTTGCATGCATTTTTCAGGTAAAAGGCTTGTCACTCGCCCACCATGTCCAACACCTAGTCCCAACATCCAGTCCCAACACCATATGAAATTTTTACACTGCAGAAACATGTGAATTTGATGTAAATCTTCTATTTCATTCCCACAAAATGCACACATAAGCACACTTGAATCATCCAAAATTCCACGCCAAAACAGATTTGATCTGGTTGGAACTCTATCATGTATTGCCTCCCAATTGAATGCAACCAATGGGTTCCAGGTTAGGTTGAAGATGCTCCTTCCCCTACTCGCATGGCTTGATGTCAGTATTGCAGATTCTGACTTGACAGAATATGAACCTTCACTTGAATGCTTCCATTTCCATGTGCCCACCTGTCCTTGCCTTAGCTGCACCTCATCCAGTAAACAATTTAGCTCTTCCAAAGTTCCACTGGACTCTTTTCCCAGGTGAAAAGGGTTCAGAGATTCAACATTTAAGAAATGTTTTCCATCCATCTTCTTGCACCTTCTGGACAAGTTAGGCAGTCAGAGATTCAAAATTTTATGGGTTCTTCTATTCTAAATTTGATTTTGGACACCGGTTTCAAACTGTTTTGGGCTGGTCCTAATCTCATATGACCAAAAAGGTGTGGACCTATTTGGAAGTAGCAAAGCGGTCCGCAAGCTGGCGTTTTTCAAACTTTGACCAACTAACCCTTGTTGGATCGGTTTGAACTTTGAAAGGATGTTTTTCTCCAAATAAGTTTTGCCTAGAAAATTTATTGAGAAAATTGTCAGGATTTTTTTTTTTTATTCAGCGTGTTAGAAAGTACTATAACTCTTATAACAAAGTTTTTTTGAACGAGATATGATGGAAGTTTTACTTAAATTGTCAACTCCTTTTCATATTTAATGAGAAGTAATTGTTAAAAGTTCTTTGAAAAATTCATTACGGTTGGGTCAAGTGATTAAAATTAAAAAATTATTTGAATTATGCTAAGAATGTAAGTTTGAATCCCTTTAATATCGTTTGGATGAACAATTTTAATACTCCATACTTGCTACATATCTTTTTAGAAGTAAAGCCTTAATTGCTTACCAGATATTTGTGGATGATAAAATTAGAAATAATTTTCTATGGGGTGGTTGTGACGAGTCTAAGAAAATCCATTGGGTTAGTTGGGAAAGGGTATGTAAGAGTAGGCTTGAAGGTGGATTAGGGGTCAAGAACATGAGATATTTTAATCTCTCCTTACTTGGAAAATGGTGGGGAAAGTTGGCTAAGGGTGAGGATTCTCTTTGGTCTAAAATTATTAGAGAAAAATATGGGACGATGAGTGGAAATTGGTATGAGTGGGTTCGGGAGGGTAGAGGGTATGGCTCTAATTGGTGGAAAGACTTATGTAAGGTAGACAACTTAGACATCAACAATCAAGGGTGGCTTTCTCGAGGACTTAAAATTAGAATTGGGGATGGGAGTGCTATGAGTTGTTGGAAAGATAAGTGGAGTAAGGAAGGCACTTTAGCTAACAAATACCCAAGACTTTATTTGATCTCTAAAGGAATAGACAACAAAGTAAGTCAAATGGGAGAATGGAATGAAGGACGATGGGAATGGAACTTGAATTGGAGACGTGAACTGCATGAATGGGAAGTAGTAGCAAGGGAACAAATACTTCAAGGCTTGGACTCTGTCAACCTTCAGCAAGGAGTTAAAGACAGCTGGTTTTGGATACATACCAAGGATGGACTCTACACAGCCAAATCAGGATACCATCATCTAATTTCCCTTCAAGACTACAGCCACAGACATGAATTCGATAGAGTGTGGAATAGCTACATCCCATCAAAGATTTGTGGTTTTGTTTGGCAACTTCTACTTGACAAAATCCCCATTAAGGCAAACCTATTCAAGAGGGGAATAATCACACAAGCTCATGAACTGATCTGCTGTTTATGCAATGAACATGTTGAAGACATAGATCATCTTTTTTTAAAGTGCAGAATTGTGGAAGAAATTTGGGACAAATGTTACAAATGGTGGAACCTATAGAAAAAGAATACCGATAATTGCTGGGAGGCATTCGTGAAGCATGTAGACTCTCCACCATATCCAAGTAAGAAAACAGGTTGGGAAGCTATTTGGTTCTCACTGGTATGGACAGTTTGGCTAACCAAGAATAGAAAGTTGTTTAACAAAGAGGAGGTTGATACTGCTAGGATGTTCGATTTAGTCCAAACAAGAGCCTTCCTATGGGTAGCAAATAGAGGAAAAGACAAGCATTGCCTACTTTTAGATTGAATTATTAACCCCAACTTATGCAAATTCTAATTTGGCCTTTTGTGGGTTATGGGATGTTGTTTTTGTAGCACATGGATTCGAGTACCCCTTGTACTCACTATCAATAGAATTTCTTTGCCTTTCAAAATAAAAAAAGATATTTGTGGATGAAATATTTTCAAGTACTTGTGGGATTTGTTAAGTCACATACTTAAATATTCATGTTACCATAAAATGGCATTTTGTTTTTTTGAAGCAGTTTACAATTTTGGGCATTGGGGGAGGAAGATTTTTCAAGGTATTGGTAGAGTTCGAAACCTCGACTAATTAATTCAAGTGCATTAAGGTTTGAGAGCAAACCACTTGGATCTGAAAATCTGATTTCATAGAAAGACAACTTAAAGATTATTTAAACTGGAAAAAATTATTATTGAATTAATTAAATAGTCGGTCATGAGATGAGGAAATATATATCATGAGCCAAAAAGAAAAAAAATTAAGGCCGCAAACAAGAAGTGTAGAAATATTCTAGCTAACCAGCCGTCCGCCTCGGACATTTTTTCTTGTGTTGTCAGGACATGTTAAAAGAGTGGGATGGACCCTACACAAAAACATAAGCCTATCTCAAATTCATTTAACTAACCAACTATAGTATAATAAGTCAAGAACATAAAAAGAAAAGCAATTAATTCTGGGCAAAAAACAAAAAGAAAAGCAATTAAATACTAGTAACTCTTCTTTTTTTCCTTGCCAACATGAATTAATGCACTTTCCCTTTTTCTTTTTTTCTTTTTTTTTTTTCTCTCAACTAATTAATATAATTAATTGATGATAAGTTATTTTTACATTTTTTTGGTAATCAATTTTAAGTTACTTTACATGATTGTTAATGTTAGTGAGTCTTTTATGTGCTATTTCTGGATGGCTCACGGTGTTCACTCGTAGCGCGAGCACCCATATCCATGTATATTCCTTGTAGACGTAGTATTTAATATATTTAATAAAGAAGAATATTGAATGTTGCTCCCCAAAAAAAAAAAAAAAACGAAGAAGAAGAATTTCGAATTCTTATCTCAATAAAGGAAGTGAAACTTCGATGTTGTTGTAGAAATATTTTACATATGATAGTGCAACATTATAAAGCATGTGATAATTCACATGGTAAACATCATCTTAAAGTTTAAATAGTAGATAAAAATAAAGCATAAACTAAAGGATAATAGACTATCACAAATTAAACTACGAGTTTAACCAACAATCATTTAGAGTTTGTTTAGTTTGCAATAAGTGGAGAAGAGAGGAGGAAAAAATATTTCATCTAATCAAATTAAGGCCTTGGTTAACTACTTATTTTGATTAGCTGAAATAGTATTTCCTCTCGTCTCCTTCATTTCTTTCAAACCAAACATATTTTTAAAGGATATATGAAAGCCACCTAACATCCCTTTTCTCAATTACTCTTCACTATAATTCTATACTGATTAGCTAATTCATCTTTGTAAAGGGAGATCTTGTGACCAGCTGCAATGCCTTTCTCCCTTATGAATGCATTCCAACCATCAGTGAAATATACCTGTTTAATTGTAAACAGTAAACAATGATTAACACAAATTAAAAGATAAAAGAGTATCCCAAATTAAACTATTAGGTTAACCAACAACCACTCAGAACTTATTTAGTTTGAGAAAAGTGAAGAAGAGGGGAGAAAAAAATATTTCATCTAATCAAATAAAGACATGGGTTTATCAATTTATTTTGATTAGCTGAAATAGTATTCTC